GAGCCAAGATCCATCTGACAACAGCTATGATATCCCTTGTTCCACATCCTCTTCTGAATCCAGCTTGCACCTCTGGAAGTTCTCTGTCAATATATTGCTGCAAACGTTTTTGAATTACCTTCAGTAAGATCTTACTTGCATGAGATATTAATGATACTGTTCTATAATTTCCACAACCTGTGGGATCACCTTTCTTTGGAATGGGTACAAATATGGATCTCTTCCATTCAGTTGGCCAGGTAGCTGTCTTCTAAATCTCTTGGCATAATCAAGTGAGTGCCTCCAATGGGGCATCCATTTGTTGAAATATCTCAACAGGTATTCCGTCAACTCCCAGAGCCTTGTTCTTCGCCAATTCTTTCATTGCAGCTTTGACTTCCTCCTTCAGTACCATTGGTTCTAGATCATATGCCACTTCCTGAAATGGATGAAGATCAACCAGTTCCTTTTGGTATAGTGATTCTGTGTATTACTGCCATCTTCTCTTGATGTTTCCTGCATCATTCAATATTTTGCCTATAGAATCTCTCAATATTTCAACTTGAGGCTTAAATTTTTTCTTCAATTCTTTCAGCTTGAGAAATGCTGAGTGTGTTCTTCCCATTTCATTTTTAGGAGCTCTCAGTTATCTAATTTGTCTTCTGGTGTTTGTGTATTCACAGTTATCTTTGATAGATTATTTATGCCAAAAATTAGGTCCTTGAGTTTTGTACCTATGTTATCTTCCAGGAACTTCATGGTTTTAGCTTTAACATTTAGGTCTTTGATTCATTTTGTGTTAGCTTTGTATAGTGTGAATTATGAATTCCATTTCATTTTTCTGCAAATGAATATCCAGTTTTGCCACCACCATTTGTTAAAAAGACTGTTTCTTTCCCCATTGAATGGCCTTTGACCCTTTGTTGAAGATCAGCTTCCCAAAGATGATGGATTTACTTCTGGGTTCTTGATTCTATTCCATTGGTCTATGTGTCTGTCATTTAATCAGTATCAAGCTGTTTTGATTACTGTGGTTGTATAGTAACTTTTGAGATTATGAAGTATGAGGCCTCCTACTTTGTTCTTCACATTCTAGTGTTCTTATCATTATGCTCTACTCTGTGAAGATAGTTAGATGTGATAAGATAATTATGCCCTTATGAGTAAAATCTACCCCAAGGTAACAGGGAGTCCTAGGCATCTCCTAACTGCCCTTGCCTCAGAAGCAGGTTCTAGAGTATACAAAGAGACTGCTAAACTACCTGAACCTGAGCTCAAATGCAGAGTCTACTGTGTACTAGAGCTTCAACTCTGGCAAGCTGCTGAGCTTCTCTGAGCCTCAGTTTTCTCATTCGTAAAATTGGGATTATTTACTCCTTGAGAGTTCTGGTGGTATAGTGCCTAAAAGCACTTGACTGCTAACCTGAAGGCTGGCAGTTCAAACCCACCATCCACTCCTCAGAAGGAAGGTTGAGCAATCTATTTCTGTAGCCATACTGCCTCAGAAACCCAAGGAGAGGTCACTATGAGTCGGGTCTAACTCGATGGCACATAACAACATTTACTCCATAGAGCTGATGAAAGCATTAGCATGAGGATATTTATAAAGGGTTTTGCATTATACCTGCCATATACTGGGTGCTCAGTAAATCTTACTTCTCCTTCCTTCATCACCACTGACCTTACAGACAACTGTATGAAACCTTGGTTACTTCCCCACAAATCAAATACCAAAATGCACACTAGGAATACTTTGAGAAGATAAGACATGAGCTGTGCTTCTACTTCTTAATCACTAAGGACTGACTAGGGCCCACTTATGTGCTTAGTTTTTAGTTTTGTATGCTTTTTCTATTTGGAAAATCCAGAAAACAATCTTTACCTTCAAGGAGCTCACAAACTACTTTGTAACAACAGAATATATCAAACAGGATAAAGCATAATCTAATAAAACACTGTGGTACACACTTGCAATATTTTAGGAGTTCATAAAGGAAAGAGATCAGGATTTGGTTGCAGGGGAGGGAAGAAAACTAGAGAGAAGAAATAGCATAAGCCAAGAATCAGAGGTAGGACCAGGGAGTGGAGTGTGCTGAGAACCTCAGGAAGGCTGACTTAAAAGAAAAGTAAGGCATACTTTGGGGAAGGGTGGAAAGCAAAAAGTCAGAATCATAAAGAAGCACAAAACTAATCATAAAAAACCTACAGAAATAAAAGAAAACAAAGAGCTGTATACCCATGCAGCGAGGATATTGGAATGAATGTGGGTACATGCTTGCTTAGGAGGACCTGGTCAGAGAGGCAGTCACATAGGTGAAGAGGGGCTCGGGAAGCTGGAAGCAAGGTACTTGGTTATAATACTCACTGTCACTGCTAGTGACTTCTTACCAAGCCCATGACCCACAGTCAATTTTCAAGCACAGGAACTCTCAAGATCTATTGAACAGCAAGCAGCATGGGGTACTACCTCTCAGATGCCAGGCCATGGTGTGGAAAGTGATGTTGGGCCCGGGATGCCAGTTTTCTTTACAAGGTAACCCAGAACAGATTTAGGGGGTATCTTGTGTTTAGGGTGAGAAAGGAAGAAGCAGCAACAAAGAAGAAAGGTCTGGGACTTTCCAGTGGTCAGAGAGAGTCCAGACTCAATTTGTGATGTCATCCTGATCAACTTACCACATTCCTGGGGCCAGTCCAGGTGCATTCCACAGCAGTCTGATTGACGGCCTTGGCTTTGAGGCTAGGAGCAGGTGGGCGAGTCCCTTTGGTCATGACATGCTCAAATGCTAAAGGACTGTCCCCTAAGTCAGTCCTGGCCCAGGCAGAAATCTCATAGGAGGTGTGAGCTGTCAGATTGCCGACTGAAAACATGGGCAAGGTGATGTCAGGAGGAAGCTAAAGTAACATCAAGTATTTGCATCATAATATATATACCCTATTTTTAAAAAACTCAAATGTAGTATCTCAATGTCATACAGGTAAGTTCCACCTATTGTAGGGCTTTCATTAGCACACAAATTGATTCACCATATTTTACAATGGCAGTGGGCTTGGTTCTTTTGTTTTGTTGTTGTTTATTACGTGTAATATTGGATAGATACATGGGCACTAGGTAATTTATTTCAGTTTGCCTTCTAGAGATACAAATTGGTACCAAATTCTTAGAAAGCCATTTGGCCTTGTGTAACAGAGCTTTGAAAATCTTCATATCTTGCAACCCAGTCAAGATAATGAAACCTCTGTAACAAAAACGTTCATCAGTGTTTGTTACAACAGAAAAATAATGTACATAGTCTAATTGTCCAGTGATAGTTAATAAACCTTACTGTATGCATTCCATATACTGTAAGTTGTGTTTTCAAAGAATATTTGATGTTACAGGAAAATCGCAGTATCATGTTATGTGAAAAAGGCAAAATATAAAACCACAGACAACATTATTCTAATTTATTAAAAAATATATATATAGAAGTCACTTCACAGAAAATAAAACCATCAATTTAATAGGTATGCAAAATGTAAAAATGACTTCTCTGGGAAGTAAAATTATGGGAAATTTTAGTTTTCTTTATTTTTGTGTGGGTTTTCTAAATTTTTTTTAATAAATATGTGCTCCTTTTATAATTAGGGTAAATTTGTAAAAAACAAAACAGCAGTGCACAAAGGGGAAGATAGATTAGGAATATGGTCTTCAGAATCAGAAGGATTTGAGTTCAAGGTGTAACTCTTTACTTGGTAGTTGCATAACTTTGGGTAACATATTTAACTTCTTTAAGACTATTTCCTTGTTTTTAAAATAACAGCACTTTTAAACAGCTAGCTATTCAGGAAATTAAAAAAAGAAAATGTCTGTAAAACAATTGGCGTGAGGATTAATGTAGAGCTAGCCTTTACTTTATTTACACAATAGCTGCTAAGACCTGTATTTTGATTTCTGTAGACCTGTATTCCTGATTCTGCCAAATTCTAATGCTGTGATTTTGAGGCTATGCTGGTTACAGACTTTGGAATTATAAAGACGTGGGTTCCGGTCCTGGTCAGTAAATTAAATTAATCTCTGAACTTTAGTTTCTTATCTGTAAAATGATGTGTCCCAGAGTTATTAGGACAGGAAAGCAGTATCCATAGAATGCCTAGGTAAGTGCCTACACACAGTAGGTATGCAATGTTATTTTTATTTTTACGTATCTTCCTTGGGTAAGTTACTTAACTCAGCAGATCTTCAGCTTTGGGGTGGGGGACAGTAATAGAACACATGTAATTTGTTTTCTAAGGTTATAACTAAAATTGAATGAAATATAACTGAACATGCTTTATAAACAGGCTAAAAGAATGTGTCGATAGAAGCTCCTATGCCACTCTCAACATTCAGAGGCAGCCTTTGCCATTGAAGGCTTTCTCTTTGAAATAAATCAAAACCTTACCTTTGTAACACATTTTCATATTTGATAACTACAATTGAGGATCAGCCTTTGCACAGATAGAAGGAGAATTGGACTACTTCCTTCCTTTGTTTGTGCGTTCAGTCATTCAACATTATTTACTGAATGCCAATTATACAAGAGCAAACCAAAAAGACTGACAGGTAATTAAATATAGGAGCTGTTTCTTTGGGAACCAAAAGTCACCTGTGAGCAGTTAATCTGGTCACTTTCCAGTTTTCCCTCCATTTTCCTCCCCAACATCCTTAAAGAGCCACCAGTTGGGGCCTTGAGGAGGCCATCCAGTGTATCCCTCTACCTGGAGGCAGTCCTACTTATACTCTCCTCAACTGATAGGAACTGTTCCATCAGCAATAGTCTTCAGAGAAGATACCATTACCTACCTGCCCCAAGCACCACACACAACAGGAAAAGTGAACACCAGCTGCCATTCAATTCAGTCCCAACACATGGCGATCCCATGTGTGTGAGAGCAGAGCTGTGCTCCACAGGTTTTCAATGGCTCATATTTTGGAAGCATGTCTTCCAAGATGCCTGTGGGTGGACTCAAACTGCCAAACTTTCAGTTAAGAGCATTAATTGTTTACACCACCCAGGGTTCCACTGTCAAGAAAGCCCTGGTCTATCCATCCCTTACTCCTTCCTGTTAGCATACTGACTAGCACCCAGGTGTTACCTTTGTGTGACAAGTGACTCCCTCGGAAGTTCAAAATTCTCCTCTCTTGTCTGTGGGTGTCAAATGCCCAGAAAATGTTTACCACATAGCCATTCACCTGCAAAGGACCAAGAAACATATTACAGGAACAGCTACGCAGTCACAGAGCACATGGAACTGTGTGGTGCACAATTAAAAATACACCCCTTTTTCTAGTGATTCTTATCCCATTTTTCTTACTACAAATGGGCTATTTCTTTTGATTTTAAAACTAGTTCTATTTGTGTGATCAGCAAATAATATTTAGATATAATCCACCAACTTCTAAAAACAAATGTGAGACCATTTATTGTACAAAATACAGATTCAATAAAACAAAGAAAATGATTGCAGAATAAAAGGACAATTATCAATTCATAAAGACAGAAAGTAGAAATGGTAAATAGATAATTAGGCCGAGAAAGAGCAAAGGTAGTTAAGGATAAATCTCAGCTCAGGTTTTCCTGTACTCATGACCAAGAGGGCAACACAAAGCGGGAGAGTCAGTACTCTCTGTCTGACAGGAGTAAATGCATCTGAACAGGGAAGACTACCTTTTCCAAGTCCTGAGCTGACAGGAGGATCTGATCTAAAGCTCTGTAAGTAGAGGACAGCAAACAAATGTTCCCAACTCCAAAGACTACAGATGAGATGCACAGAAGGCCATTTCTTGCATTGACCCTCCCTCTTTGAAGCCAAAGGTATGCTATTGAATTGTAGGTTAGCAAATGGAAATCAACAGAGATATTGCTGTGTTGGCATAAGGACTCTAAAGAATGTATTTCCCACAACTCAATGGGGGGTAGGGATGCCAGGATGGACAAATAGTCAAGAAAGAACACTATCAGGGGGGTGGACTTTCAATATGAGAAACTACACAGACACTGCTAACTATGGTGAAGTTGGCAGTGCAGGTGGTCCAAGGGGAAGGGAGGGTGGTGCTAGAAGAGGGGATTATAAGGTGGATATCAGGTGGGTATGTTTCCAAAGTATCCGAGCATCTCACAAGAAGGTTGAGAGCAACCCTGTGGGAACCTCTGCATTAGCGCTTAAGCACCAGGAAATCCAATAAAGCTGAAAATTACAGGGCACACATATTCTGTTAATGCCAACTCTTTATTTGCACCATAGCTGTGAACCATTTAATTATAGGGTTTTTCTTTTTCCTTTTTTTTTTTTTTCTTTTTAAAAAAAGGCACCAGGCTGAGGCAGAATAATTACATGTGGAAGACTCAAGTTGTTCTTTGTGGGAGGATGCACCAAACTAGTTATGATCTTTCAGTTTCCCCTGATCAAGCCATTCCTTTTCCTTAATCTCCCTGTACTATGTTGTCTTGGTTCCCATACAAAGGAAAGCCTCATCAAAATGCTACTTTGAAATTTCAACATTACCTTGATGTCACTATCCATGGTCAGGGTAAAGCTTAGAGAATTTTCACTGTAGCTGTCAATGTGGATATTTGGTGGTGGGATCACTGGAAACAAAAAAGAATTCATTTGCACCCAAAACACAATAAAATAAATAAATAAAAGAATTGAAAAAGAGAGAGCACATGATGAAAAGTGAGGAAGGCAGGATTTAGGAGTTTTTTTCTCAACAGACAAAGTGATCTTTCAGTTAGGGAAGAAAGGGCATTTCTTTGGCTGTTTTGACTCTTCTATCTCTTTTCCACTGTTTTCCCGAAGCTGAAGTTGGATCCAGAGTTGCTTGGTGAACACATAACTATGCTGGCTTGCTCAGCTACCCTGGCAATTCATTTGTGTAGAAAAGTTCCATTATGTAATGCCTCAAACAGCCTGGACACAGCCTGGTCCTTAAAGGGGCAGAGTTCATATAAGTGTCATTTTACTGGCACTAACAAGGTCTCAGTCCCTTCCGAAGAATGACAGAAGTGTGAATCATAAATTACTAATTGTAAATGTGTGTGTGGCAAAATGGAAAGAACGTGGTCTCTGGAGTCTGACAAATTCAAGTTCAAATTTCTATTCTGACATCTGGCAACGACATAACATAGAGCAAGTTAGTTATTCTCATTGAGCCTAGAGATAGTATCTACACTTCACAACATAACAGTTGCCATCCTAGTAGACTCTGACTTATGAGGACCCCATGTGTGTCAGAGTACAACTGTGTTCCACAAGGTTTTCAATGGCTTATTTTTCCCAAAGTAGATCTACAGGACTTTCTTCCAAGGCACCTCTGGATGGACTTGAACCTCCAACTTTTTGGTCAGCAGCCAAGTGTGTGAATTGTTTGCACCACCCACAGACCACACAGCTGTGAAAATTAACTAAAATAGTACATGTGAAATGCCTAACACTCAACTATTATGTTCCTTCTTTCTTTCTCTCTTCCCTGTTAATAAAGCCCCACTTTAGACACAGAACAGATTACAGAAGCAATAAGCAATCTGCTTTCTCAAAATGATCTGAACTCAAATTGAGTGTTGAGGGGGCAAAAAGAAAGAGCTAGAGAGAAAAACCCTTCTCAGTTCAAATGAGGGGTCTCATGCTTGTTACTTTGAAGGCCTGACCTCATAAAGGCTGGAAGTGTTCTACCAGGCATAATATAAAAGGGCTTAGTGAATAAATATTATTGGGAGATAATATTTATGCAACAACTTATATACTAGACCCTCAGAATACATACATTCTCTTTATACAGACAAAGCAACAGAGACTCAAAGGGGTTGACTATGATTTGGCGGCAAAAGAGATGTGTTACAAACCTCCAGATGATCAACCATGTTGGGCTTGTGCAAAATTAAGTAACAGAAGAAGACAGGACACTAGAAGTTACAGGCAGTTAACTCAGAGCAAAAACAGCTGAGGTGCTGCTGTAAAGCAGACACGAGTGAAAATCATGGAGACACAGGGGTAAGGCATAAGCCTCTCCAAGCCCCAGATTCTTCAGCTACAAAATGAGGATAATACTTCCCTTAAATGGCTTATAGGGATTAAAAGAGATCAATTTATGCAAAACAATGAGCGCAGTACAAGTGCAATGTCCAATAAATGGTAGATTTTATCATTGCTATCAATCCACTACAATAATCAATTTGGTGTTTCTGGCTGACAGAACTGCTGGTTCCATCCAAGTCATCTTCTTATATGTATTCTTACAGATACAAGGTCACAGATATTTCAGAACAAATATTTTTAAACACAACACAGATGTCTTCCATATACACCCTAACTAAAACATATGTGAGATGAGATTCATAAAAATTAAAAAAAAAAATCTTATAAAAGAAGTTAAAGAGAAGGAGGGCTTCCAGCAAGGTGCCAGAATAGGAAGACAAGCTATCCAGATGCTTAAAAACAAAGATAAGAGAAACCAATTGAAGCAGATAAAGAGGATAATCCTGGAACCCTGAGCTTCAACGGAAAGGATAAAGAAGTAGATTAAATGCCCAGTAGTAGAAGAAACTGAATACAAACAGCAATAAGGAAACAAGTGGAGCTGTGGACTACTGACTGGCCTAAGGTACAGCCATTTTCAATATTTGCAAGAAGCGTTCCAATTGGGATGGCAACCTGACAATCTGCTCTGACTGCCAAGGACTGCAAGGACAACCACACTGGTGGCTGGTAACCAGAAAGCAACAATGCCCACATGACCTGACAACATCTGTACCTCCTGCAGCCCACCTAATAGGTGAGGGCTACAACCTCCTTCTGCACCAACTGATCAATGACAGACAATGGCCAATGCCAGCCCAATCTACCCTCAACTGCTCTACAAAAACAGAGATCTGTGCACACATTCTCACTATCATATCTACCAGGAGATAGCTATGGTATGTCTAAGCAATGCCAAACTAGTGAATAAAGCAGCACACCAACCTCACTCACTCTGATATCACAAGAAAATAAAGCCAAAAAAACCCATAAATATCTGAGTGAATAATACTAACATACAATCACCAATTAAATACAAATACCACATCACCAACACTCATCTGTCAGTTTGTCATACTGTGGTGGTGTGCGTGTTGCTGTGGAGCTGGAGGCTATGCCACTGGCATTTCAAATACCAGCAGGGTCACCAATGATAAGACAGGTTTCATAGGAGCTTCTACACTAGGACAGACTTCGAAGAAGGGAGGGGCTATTCACTTCTCAAAGAACTGGCAGTGAAAACCTTATGTATAGCATCACAATGTCCTGGAGACAAATTATAATTCCAGTTCACACTAAGAAGCGAGATAAAGCAGTACAAACAAAGGATCGGAATACACAGCCAGAAAACCTACCTGAAGAAGCAACAGCACTGGAGCTAGGAATTCAAAAGAATTATATTTAGGTACCTTCACTGGATTAAGAGATAGATCAAGGAAAACTGACAAAATTAAGGAAAATATAAACAAAATGCTAGAAGAATTTAGAAAAACAATACAAGAACTGACAAAATAAATGAAAAATTAGAAAACATACAAAAACAGCAAACAGAAATCCAGAAAACTAATGCTACAAAAACCTCTGTTGCCACTGAGTCAATTCTGACTAACAGTGACCCCCATTGGGTGTCCAAGGCTATAATTATTTATAGAACTAAATTGCCTCATCTTCCTCTTGTGAGGCAACTGGTGAGTTTGAACTACTGACCTTCTAGGTAGCAGTCTATTACACCACCAGAGCTCCTTGATTAACACTAAGATATCAGAAATATATAACATATTGAAAGGGTGAAGGAGTAGAATTGAATCAATGGAAGACATAATTAGTGACACTGAAGACAAATGTCTCAATACTACTTTGTTAAGGGAACAATCAGAAAAAAGAAAAAAAAAAAATGAAGAAAGCCTAAGATTTACATGGTACACCATCAAGGGGGAATAACAAGTTTGATCAGAATTCCAGAACAGGAAAAGACAAATAAAACCTCAGAAGGAACTGTCGAAGATTTGTTGGAAGAGAATTTTCCTAACATGATAAAAGACGAGAAGATATGCATTCAAGAAGCTCAACAAATGCCAAACAGGATAGACCCTAAAAGAAAATCACCAAGAAATATCATAATCAAATTTTATAAAACTAAAGACAAAGAAAGAATACTGAAAGCAGCACAGAGAAAACAAAGAGTTACATAGAAAGGTAACAAATAAGACTAAGCTCTGACTTCTCAGCAGACACCATGTACGCAAGAAGTCAATGGGATGACACATATAAAACCCTGAAAGAAAAAAATTGCCAACCAAGAATTACATAACCTGCAAAATTGTTCTTCAACAATAATGGACATTTCCAGATTTAAGAAATGAAGAAAAATTGTAAAAATCAGACCAACCATACAAGAGATGCTAAAGAAATTCCTTTGGACAGAGAACCAACAACAGCAGACAACAACTGTGATTAACACACAACATAACCCAGCATCCAACCCAGATATAGAAGTATCCAAAGTAAAATAAACTTACAAGACTGAAAACAGGGAACCAGAGACATCAATTTGTAAATGAGGAAAACCACAAAGAAATTAAGAGGGAAATACATAAATGATAGTTACAGAACTTCCAAATGGAGAGAAAGTAAAGACAACTTTGAGATAGAACAGACTGTTTTAAACCTTGGAAGGACAAACTAAATCACAGGTAACCTCAAAGAAAATTAATAATCATTCCCATCAAAATAAAAGAGGAAAGGGCATAAATCTTTAGCAAATACTAAAGCAATAGCAATGAAGCAAATGATTTTAAAAAATTAATGAACAAAATGAGCTCAGCACAGAAAATTGTGGAACAGAAAAATCAGCAACACCACAAAAAAACATAACAAAATGACACCAACAAATTCATACTTGTCAATAATTATACTGTATGCATATGGATTAAATACACCAATCAAGAGACAGAAAGTTGCAAAATGGGTAAGAAAACATGACCCCATCAATATGCTGTCTAGAAGAAATATACCTTAGACACTGCTAAAAGCAGATTAAAAATCAAAGGTTGGGGAAAAATAAAAAAAGATCTCAAGCCAATGGCAATCAAAACAGAGTAGGAGTGGCAAAATTAATTTCTGATAAATTAGACTTTGAGACAAAAACCACCACAAGAGACAAGGAAAGATATTATATAATGATTACCTAAACTAACAGAAACAGATGCTGAAAATTTGAACAGACCTATAAACAAAAGAAGAAATATAAAGTAAATATAAAAATATCTATGCACCCAATGAAAGAGCTCCAAAATACATAAATCAAACTTTAACAGAACTAACAAAAAAGAAGTAGACAACTCCACAGTAACAGTAGGAGAGGCTTTAATATACCACTTTCGATGAAAGACAGAGCAACTAGAAAGAAACTCAACAAAGACACAGCAAGACTAAACAATACAGAACCAATATAACCTTATAGACATCTACAGAGCACTCCACCCAAACAAAGGCACAGTATACATTCTTTTCCAGTGCACATGGACCATTCTCCAGAATAAACTATTTGGCCACAAAGCAAGCCTCATAAATT